GTGTGTGTGTGTGTGTGTGTGTGGAATTTTATTAATTTAATAAACAAAAAATTACATGAACCAATATAATATCACGTCCTTTTATTTTCAAGAATTTTCAAAATAATAAAAGATTATAAAAAAAAAAATTAAAAAAAAAATGTAAAACCAATTGTTAAGAAAAATGTGTAAGAATAATAATAATTATTCGAATGAAATTCTCTCGTGAAATGTATTATATTTGAAATATATGTCTATTAAAAAGAATCTTGCAGGTAAATTCACCTGTACAGGTTTACAAGGTCACCGTGTATTACCTGAAACGTGTATCGTAATTTGAAATAGGTACGACAAGTGAAAAAACAAATATCACCTGAACAAGGTGACTGAACACAGGCAAGTATTTCAAATAGGATAGAGGCACCCTTATGTTATATAAAGTTTACATCCCTTATTTGTTCCCCTCTCTTTTTTTCATCCCCTCTAACTATCTTTCTTTCTTTCTTTCTTTCTTTCTTTCGTTCTATCTTTCTATCTTTTACCTCAAAGATTATCTCATTGGAAACAATTTTTTACACAATAAAACTAAAGACACATGATTTGACTTTAAATACAAACAAAAATTATGCACTCTTTTTCTTTTTGTAATAAAATAAATTAAATTATTTCAATAATAAATACAGCAATTTTTTTTTTAGATGACAACGATAACAATGATAATAATAATAATAATAATAATAATAATAATATTGCATTCGTAGAGTTATAATTTATCGATGTAAAATTTAAACGACAAATATATAAATAAACAGAGACAAATGTATAAATAATAAAATACAAATATTAATTCTAATAATTAATTTTTAATTAATATATAAATAAAAAAAAAAACCACATTAATTTTAACTAGTCACGATAGTGTCTAGTTAAAAAATAAAAGGATGATTAAAAACACCTGAAACGTCTAGCAAACAGGTTGTTAAAGGTAACAAAAATAAAAAAATAAAAAAAAACAAACAACAGAAAAAAATGATTGACAGAACAAAAAATGTATGGACAAAAAAAAATAGGAGAAATAGGATAGGTCATGGAACAACCTGATGAAAAAAAAAAAAAGAAGAAGAAAAAAGAACCAACATAATAATTTTTTTTCTCATTGGATAACAACTACCACTACTACTAAATTAAAATTAAATCTATTGAACGACGAATAGAAAAAAGTTTAGTGATTCTATGATGGTAGGATAAAAAAAAAAAAAAGAGAGAAAAAATAAAACAGAAAAAAAAGAACAAAGTAGAAAAAAAAAATAGAAAAAAAAAAAATAGAAAAAAAAAAAATAGAAAAAAAAAAAATAGAAAAAAAAAAAATAGAAAAAAAAAAGATGAGCTTATATATATGGGGTAAATTTGATATAACCACCATGAGTTACGTATAGGGATTATATCCCCATTTTTTTTCTTTCCAA